TGTCTTTTTACTGCCATGTGCTTAATGGAGTTTTGCCTCTGTCTGGATTACTTCCCAATTATCTCCAGGATAGAGAGGAGGGATTGTGATGTCATTGTGGGAGCGTTTATCTGTGTTGTATGTTTTGATTGGATGTTCCACAAAACCCTGTGGGTGGGACTTTGTCTGTAAAATGTGTATATAAGGCCAATAAAGACACAGCTCAGCCTGTTCACTGCTTGACCCTCAACACAGAGCTTTGTCTCATTCTTTGAGGGATTTACTGTATGCTGTTAGAGACTGATTGCCAGGAGTGTAAGCCACTTGGGTGCTTTTCCTGTTCAGCTGCTAGCAGCTATTCGTGAGGTTCCAGTTTGGGAGTTTGGAGTGCTACTTTGTATCCTGTTCGGGAGTTTGGTGTTCTGCGGTAGCTGTGCCTGTGTCTCTGGAAGGGGAAGATCTTCTAAACGACGGTTTAACCCCTTTTATGCCTGGGGGTGCCGTTACAGGTGGCTTTCCTGGTTTTGGTAGTGTTATTATAATAGCTTCCAGCATTTCCGGGTGTACCTCACCTGAATCTAAAATGCTGTTAAAAAGTATTGTTAGATTTGGGATCAATTCCGTTGCAAATTTAAAATAACAATAATTAGAAAACCCATCTGGGCCTGGTGCTTTATGTTTTGAAGTTGTTTTTATATCTTCCCACACCTCCTCCTCTGTAAAAGGTTTATTCAAAATCTCTGCCTCTTCCCGAGTCACGCAAGGTAGTTCAACATCTCTTAGAAAAGTGGAAATCGTATTTAATGTGGGTTGAGTTGTATTTGAGATATGGAAACCTTATTCACCTTATTTTCAACAAGTAATTTTTTCCAAACGGACTTATCTTGAAGTATCCATTTGATCTGATATTTACATCTACTATTGATACTACAGTTGCAGTTTTTTGGCAGTCAGCTCAGATTCTACAGATGAAAGACTGACAATTAGGCTGTTAGTTTTCGATACCAACAAGCCTAGTATCTGTATGCCGATGTGTCCACTCCTATCTTTCTTTTTTTGTTTATTTAAAAGTAGAGCAATTCATAAACACCTCAGCTGATTCTGTTATATTTATTCTAGCAGATAAAAGGTGTTTTATGATATATATCCTTTACCCTTTGTGCAATATTTGGATGTTTGCACGTTTGGACTGAATTATTTATTATTTGGACTTTTCATCCAGTCATTATATTGATTGCTGCTATATGACAATATATATCTATTTTTAATTATTTTAACTATTTTAATTATTTTAGAGTCACTTATAATTTAGATTGGTAATTGTATTACCTATTTGACGTTTTATATTTATGCTGATATCCTTGCATAATATACTGCAATATTTGTAAGATATTTTATAGCTGCATTCTTTTTCTCACATCTTCAGGCTCCTGGTTCACTCTGTTTCCATATCTGTTAATACATTTGGGATTTGGTGAAACCCCACTTTTTCCAGTTTTGAGCTTTTATTCACTTTTGTCCTATTCCCTCTTACCTAGTCTTTGATAGACATATTGTTTGGCTATCAAGATTTACCCCTACTACCTTTGAGTTGTATTTGAGTTTACCAAGTATGGAATTTTTGATTATATTAACTTCTGTTTAATTTGAGACGCCAAAAATTTGCCCGCTTTATTTCCCTGTGTATAATATTTAAATTTAGATTTTCTCAAACTGCGTTCCATTACCTTCAATTCTAAATTTTCTAGTTGTTTTTTAAGTTTAAAAAGTTTATTTCGTAAACAATTATTTAGAGTTTGTTTATATTGTTTCTCTATTTCTCCTATTGATTTGAGAAGTTTTTTCTGTTCCTCTCCAAATGTTCGTTTTGCCCTTGCGCCTTGTTTTATAAGTATTCCCCTTACTGTGGCCTTGTGAGCTAACCATATAACTGCTATAGATGTATCCTGATTAGTGTTTTCTTGAAAAAACTGATTAATTGTATTCCTGATCTCTATTTCTCCCATTTTATTATCTAATAATGCTTCGTTCAAACGCCATGTACCCTAACCTCTTGCCTGATATGAAGTGTCAAATATGGAACATACTGGGCCATGGTCTGACCATGTTATTAGATCTATATTTACCTTCACTAGAGATTGGAGTGTATTTTGTATTTTTCATGTTCAAAAGTGATTAAATAGTATGATAAAATAATTGTTCACTTCTGTTAGTACATATTTAAGGCAATATTGTTGTCTACAGGTATAGTTTGGCCTTGAAAGGCTTTACATAGCTATGACTTACTATGCAGTAATGCACAATCTCTCATAAATACTGGTATACTGGCATATATGTTTGCCTTCACCTATAGAGACTATACAATCTGTGTATTATTTATGCGTATCTAGGCTCAGCATAAAATGCTTCTTTTACTGTTATATCTCTTTTTAGTTTTTTTTGTTTTTTAATGTGAGAGCAGAATTGGTGTTATTGTACGATATAATGCTGTTTTACCACTATGTCTTTGGTGAATTTGCCTTTCTTGTAGAACTCTATAATGGTGTGATTCCTTTCTGATACTTATACAATTACATTGCTTTTTTTCTAATGTATGTATCTTTCAAACTAATAAACTTTAAATGACAAAAAGAAAAAAAAAAAGATACTTTCTAGTGTCTGCTTTCTCAAATGGAAGCACTTTGTGGGGTTATTTGAACAGTCCAATAGTTATAATACCTCAAAATGAGACATAGGCCCATCAAATCCATCTATGAAAATTCTAACTAAAGAAACTTAAATAGCCTTGTCTCTAATATGGCATTGTAGCTTCACAGAATAGTGCCAAAGCCATACAATGGGGGGTATTGTTGTACTCAGCAGATGTAGCTAAACAGAGTATGGAGTTCTGTATAGGAATAGCACACACCAGCTTTACAAAATATACATCAAAAAACCTTGGTATATGTGTAAATGCCAAAATAGAACAAAATAAAAATTTTACTCCAATATCTAGCAGAAGTTGGCGATGAAATGGCTACGTTTAAAGTGTCAACATAACCTTGGGTAAATAGCCTGTGAGTAGAGTTGAGTGGACACCTGGATGTTCGGGTCCGGCGAAACTTGACCCCGAACCCGAACCCCATTGAAGTCAATGGGGACCCGAACTGTTGGGCACAATAATGCCTCTAAAAAAGTTGTGGAAAGGGCTAGAGGGCTGCAAAAGGAAGTAAAATGATAGTAAGAGTAGGACAAATGCCCTGCAAACAAATGTGGATAGGGAAATCACTTAAAATAACATAAAATGCATAAAAATTAAAAATACAGCTGACCCATAAAATAGCACTAGATGGAATCTTTGATTTTAGCTTTGGAAGAACATAAATCAAAATCTAAAGCATGGCTGTCAGGAGGATCACCAGAATTATCCATTTGAGAGAGGGTTGGAGTGCAGGGTATTCTCATTGTTCAAACTGAGCTCAACTCCTGATGCATGGAGAAAAGGCCTTCACAAGCCTCTGCTTTTGTGTACATAGTTTATATAGAGACCTATAGGTTGAGGAGGCGGTGACTGTGGCGTTGTAGGTGGAAGCAGTGGTGGTGGAAGAGGAAGAGGTAGCCAACATTTTTTATTTTTTTTATTTTTTATTTTTTTATTGGGGTAGCCCCCAAAATATTGGGACATATAAAAAAAAGAAAACTCTATTCCACAGAGCGACTGACCCGTGCGTGTTGCAGCTGAAACTCCACTATCGCCTTGCTGCTGCTCGCACAGTCTCATAAGGTGGTGAGCGGGAAGCCCGAAGTTACGCTGCAGCACAGACAGGCGAGCAGCAGCAGGTTGAGAACGCCAAAAGCGCGCACAGACAGCCTGCACTTTCTGCAGCAGCTCTGATATATCTGGGTAGTTTTTCAGGAATTTATGCACCACCAAATTCAGCACATGCGCCAGGCTAGGCCCAGAGCTGCTACGAGATTTCGCCCATTATCGCACACCACCAGGCCGGGTTGTTGCCAATCATTGGTCTGTTGTTCCATGCCCGTCCACAGCTTTTGTGCAGTGTGGGGTTTTTCCCCCAAACATATGAGTATAAAAAGAGTCTGCTGTTGTTTCCCCCTGGCTGTGCTGAAGTTGGTGGTGAAGGTGTTACGCTGACCGGATGAGGAGGTGGTAGAGGAGGATGAGGAAGAAGCAACAGGAGCCAACAGGAGGCAAAGCTGTTTACCCAAATAAAGATTGTCAAACGTTGTATCCTGGACTGTGTCCCATCCAGTTACCCAAATCCAGCTTCAATTGGTGGCAAGTGGCGGGATCCCATGTACCTGCCAACAGACTACAGTGCTCTAAAGTGACCTACACTGCAGGACTTGTGTGGAGCCAGAGGAATAACACCTGGTGGGCGTAGCAAGGCTGAATTGACTGCTGCGCTAATGGAGGACGACCAGGCATGCAGTGAGGCAACGAACCCCAGCAAGGGGCCGGAGATGAGGAGGAAGTGCACAAGGAGGTGTAAAGTGCCTGGCATATTACCGAGAGCCACCCTCAGAGGAGATTGTCAGCAGGACCTTTTTGGAGGTGCAAGCCTATGTCCTTGCCAATAAACAGAGGGCAACCTCCATGAACCCAGATGAAGGAAGAAGGGAGCAGAGGGCACCAGGAAGCACAACCACCCTGGCCCACATGCCTTCAAAGACTTCAAGTAAGCAGAAGAAGGCATTGATGACATTTACAAGACTTTGAGCACCAGTGCCTACTCCAAGACGTGGACCCCAGCGACTGGGTCACCATCCTGGCCAGCAAACTAGTGGGGAAGGCAGCGGATATTTACCGGGCTGTACCAGAAGAAAAGATCAGAGACTATCCCTTTATTACCCAAATTCTTCTGGCCTGGTATGCGGTCACCCCCGAGCAATACCGCCGAAAGTTTAGGGAGACCCAGAAAGGGGAGAAGGACTCCCATGCGGAGTGGGCATGCCACATCATAAGGGCCACCCAGAACTGGCTCAACTCCCATCAAGCCAAGTTTCCAGAGCAGATCACCCAGCTTGTCATGCTAGAGCACTTTTTCAATGGGCTCCCCAACGACAAGGCGACGACGCATTCGTATGTCATCCATATCAACTTTCGATGCCACTTTCTGCACCTACCATGGTGACCACGGGTAACGGGGACTCAGGGTTCGATTCCAGAGAGGGAGCCTGAGAAACGGCTACCACATGCAAGGAAGGCAGCAGGCGCGCAAATGACCCATTCCCGACGCGGGAAGGTAGTGACCACAAATAACAAAACAGGACTCTTTAGAGGCACTGTAATTGTAAAGAGTCCACTTGAAATCCTTTAACTCTGATCAATTGGAGGGCAAGTCTGGTGCAGAGTGACTGACCAGTGCGTGCTGCAGCTGAAACTCCACTATTGTCTCATGAGGCGGTGAACAGGAAGGCCGAAGTTATGCTGCAGCGCAGACAGGCGAGCAGCAGCAGGGTGAGAATGACGAAAGCGCACACAGACTGCCCGCACTTTCTGCAGCAGCTCTGATATATCTGGGTATACACTGTGGCGGTGTAGGTGGAAGGGGCGGTGGAGGAGGAGGAGGTAGCCAATACTGGTTTTTATTTGTTTTGTTTTTTTTTTAATTGGGGTAATCCCCAAAATATTAGGACATATAAAAAAAGAAACATTTGCAGCCTGCGGTGTATTTCTTGCAGTCCTGATGCATGAAGAAATGCTCAACTCCTGATGCATGGAGAAAAGGCCTTCACAAAGCCTATTGTGTACGTAGTTTATACTAAGTGACCCATAGGTTGAGGAGACGGTGACCGTGGCGGTGTAGGTGGAAACAGCGGTGGAGGAGGAGGTGGTAGCCAACACTGTTTATATTTATTTATTTTTAATTGGGGTAGGCCCAGGGCCGGTGCAAGGAATTTTGCCGCCCTAGGCAAAAGTAAAGTTTGCCGCCCCCCCATGTGACATCACAATGCCCCACCCATATGATCTGACATGTTAACTAACGCCAGTGCTGCAGTGCCGCCGTGTTTACATTAAAAGGCCTGCAGGGACAGGCTATAGACACCAGAACCACTACATTAAGCTGCAGTGGTTCTGGGGACCATAGTGTTTCTTTAATGTGAGGTAAATTAGAGATTAGTGCCACAAATAATATACTAGATTGTCTACTTTCAACCAGATGAGGATGATGATGGGCTCTAGCTGCAGTCTGGCTCCACTGGTCTGGTGTAGAACAGGCTCTCTGGAGGTGGTTTGTAACTGTGGTCACAAAAATCAATGTTCTGGGAGAATGGGAAGCAGCTCCATTTTTGGGGGGCCCTTTACACAGGTCAAGGTCTGGGTCCCAGGGTCCACCTTCATGTTCCACCAATGAGTTTGTTCACAGGGGATGGAGTGTGTAAGGGATGTCCTGATATGTGTGTAAGGAATGCATTGTGTGAATCTGTGTTTGTATGTGTAAGGGCTACAAGGTGTGTTTCTGCGTATGTACGGGATGCAGTGTATGCGTCTGTAAGGGATGCATTGAGTGTGTGTAAGGGGTGCATTGAGTGTGTGTAATGAATGCATTGTGTGTTTCTGTGTGTGTAAGGGATGCATTGTGTGCAAGGGTTGCATTGCTTGTGTATGTGTGTCTGTGTGTGTATGCACCCTGCAGAAAGCCATAGCAGTTGGAACCTGTGTTTTTCCAGTATGTAAACTCTGCAAAGGACATATGGGAATTGATTTAGAATTATATCCAGGCAACAGTTTTCCCTATAAACTGACCTCTCAGTTTGACTTGTGAGGGTATTGCCCCCAAATTGCAATATTGTTATATTGGTATTTAACTGTTCTTTTTGACTGTCAGATATAAAGTGCAGGCTGCAAATGTACTATTTAGCACTCAAAAAAATTTGAATTAGTCAAACTGAGCTGTAACCACAGAATTTGACGGTTCTATTTGACTCTCAGATATGAAGTGCAGGCACCAAATTGACTTTTTAGCACCTAAAGATTTAGAATTTTTACAACTGCAATGTAAGCACAATATTTGATGGTTCTATTTGACTATCAGAAATTAAGTGCACCGCAGGCAGCAAGTGTACTATTTAGCAGCCAAAAAAGTTGAATGTTTAAAACTGCTATGTCACAGCATTATTTGATGGTTCTATTTGACTCTCAGATATGAAGAGCATGCCACCAAATTCACTATTTAGCAGTCTAGCACCAAAACAATTAGAATTTTTACAACTGCGCTGTAACCGCACTATTTGACGCTTCTATTTGACTCTCAGATATGAAGTGCAGGGCCCAAATTTACTATTTAACAGATTAGCACCCAGAAAATAAGAATGTTTACAATTGCACTGTAATCGCACTATTTGACGCTTCTATTTGACTCTCAGATATGAAGAGCACACCCAAAATTGACTATTTAGCAGTTTAGCACCAAAACAATTCAAATTTTTACAACTGTGTTGTAACCGCAGCATTTGACGCTTCTATTTGACTCTCAGATATGAAGTGCAGGGCTCAAATTTACTATTTAGCAGATTAGCACCCAGAAAATAAGAATGTTTACAATTGCGCTGTAACCGCAGTATTTGATGCTTCTATTTGACTCTCAGATATGAAGTGCAGGGCCAAATTTACTATTTAGCAGATTAGCACCCAGAAAATAAGAATGTTTACAATTGTGTTGTAAACGCAGTATTTGATGCTTCTATTTGACTCTCAGATATGAAGTGCACCCCACTAATGTACTTTTTAGCACCCAAAAAATGTAACATTTTAAAACTGCAATATGACAGCAGTATTTGACTCTTCTATAAGAGCACACCCCAAATTTACTATTTAGCAGATTAGCACCCAGAAAATAAAAATGTTTACAATTGCGCTGTAACCACACTATTTGACGCTTCTATTTAACGCTCAGATATGAAGAGCATGCCCCAAATTTACTATTTAGCAGTTTAGCACCAAAACAATTAGAATTTTTACAACTGCGCTGTAAACCGCAGCATTTGACGCTTCTATTTGACTCTCAGATATGAAGTGCAGGGCCCAAATTTACTATTTAGCAGATTAGCACCCAGAAAATAAGAATGTTTACAATTGTGCTGTAAACACAGTATTTGATGCTTCTATTTCACTCTCAGATATGAAGTGCACCCCACTAATGTACTTTTTAGCACCCAAAAAATGTAACGTTTTAAAACTGCAATATGACAGCAGTATTTGACGCTTCTATAAAAGCACGCCCCAAATTTACTATTTAGCAGATTAGCACCCAAAAAATAAAAATGTTTACCATTGCGCTGTAACCACACTATTTGACGCTTCTATTTAACGCTCAGATATGAATTAGCAGTTTAGCACCAAAACAATTAGAATTTTTACAACTGCGCTGTAAACCGCAGTATTTGACGCTTCTATTTGACTCTCAGATATGAAGTGCAGGGCCCATATTTACTATTTAGCAGATTAACACCCAGAAAATAAACATGTTTACCACTGCGCTGTAACCGCACTATTTGATGCTTCTATTTGACTCTCAGATATGAAGATTACGCCCCAAATGTATTATTTAGCAGTTTAGCACCAAAAGAATTAGAATTTTACAATTGCGTTGTAACCGCAGTATTTGACGCTTCTATTTGACTCTCAGATATGGAGTGCACCCCACTAATGTGCTTTTTAGCACCCAAAAAAACTGACATTTTAAAACTGCAATATGACAGCAGTATTTGACGCTTCTATTTGACTCTCAGATATGAGGTGCACACCCCCAAATGTACTATTTAGCACCAAAAAAATTTTACTTTTTAAAACTCCGATGTAACCGCAGTATTTGACGCTTTTATTTGACTCTCAGATATGAAGTGCACCCCACTATATACTAGTTTGCAGAATTCTTTCCTAATTTGTCCCTGAAAGCGGCAGCATCCTCTCCCTACACTAATAAGAGCTCATGTGACGTGACTCCAGCTCATATATAGAGGCTGAGTCACATGCTGCACTGGCATGGCTGTGATGGCTTCTAAGAGCACAAGAGTCAAACGCTTGTTGATTGGCTGCCCTGCAGCCTTTCAAAACGCGCCATTAAATCGCCGAACATCGAACTCCAACCCAAACATACAGTGATATGTCCGTGTTTGGGTCCAGGGTCCAAAAAACGTAATGTTCGGTACGAACCCGAACTTTACAGTCCGGGTTCGCTCATCTCTACCTGTGAGGTGTACTTTATATAAATATATACTTTTGTGTGACAATTTTGTTTTTTGTGATGGCTACTAAACTTGAAATTTCAAGTGAAAAATCACATTGAAATTGTATTTCAGTCCTTTTTTTCCCATTTTGTGACCTGCAACTTTCAAAATGAGGTGAAATTCTATACATACTATGTACTCTATGAATCAAGACCTAGAGTTGAGCGAACCCGAACTGTAAAGTTTAGGTTCATACCGAACATTACGATTTTTTGGGTTCAAGTTCGGTGTTCGGCCCTACATAACAATGAGGGGGGACCTACTGTCTGGCCCCCACTCCTGCGTGGCGGGTGGGGGTCATAAATAACAATGGGACCTACTGTCCTCCCCTCAGCCCCCACCCATGCATGGCAGGTGGGGGCCCCAAATAACAATAAGGGGGGGACCTACTGTGGGGGCCACAAATCACAATGGGGGGACCGGAGGGTGGGTGGGGGCCCTAAGACAAATCCCCCCCTTTAAAGGTGACAAAGGGGTCCCCAAGCCCTTAGTCACCCACCCCCCACCCAAATAAAAACTATCCCCTACCTACCCCCCTCACCCTAAAAATAGTGAGGGGGGAATAAAATAACTAACCTGTAAATAAAAATAAAACTTAGCATTTGAGGCCAAATAAAAAACCATCATACCCGTCGAACATAAAATAAAATAAAAAATCCGACCACAAAAAAAACTAGACGAAAAAGGAAAAAACCAGACGCTAAAAAAAGAATCCATCTTCACTGATGGAGGGCTCCGTGCAGACCGAGCTCTGCAGGGCGGGGGAAGGGGATATAATTTTATTTGGGTGGGGGGAGGTGACTAGGGGCTTAGGGACCCCTAGTCACCTTGGAAGGGGGGGGGATTTTCATTTAGGGCCCCCACCTGCTGCTCAGGGGTGGGGGCCAGGGAGGAGGACAGTAGGTCCCTCCCACTTTCTTATTTATGGCCCCCACCCGCTGCGCAGGTGTGGGGACCAAGGGGGAGGACAGTAGTTCCCCCACTCATTGTTACGTAGGGCCCCCACCCGCCGCGCAGGG